TTGTATTACTTTTTGTGAGCAAACCTCCACAGGGGCACCATTATTTAACTTTATGTTTTGGGCCCATCCATTGTGCGATTGTGCACGTTAGGAAGCCAGTTTAGTTGGGCTGGGTCCGTGATTTCATGTTTATAATTTTGTGTACAATACATTCAAATTCAAACCATCAGTTCTGTTTGTGTCTGGTTTCTCTGCTAATACATGCTTTCAGGCTCTGCAGCTGTTCCTGGACCTTACTGATTCTGGCTTAATATTAAACTATCATTACTATACTTATCTGTGGTAACCGCTACACATGTCGTACTAACTCACATTCTTTATGACTTTTGAATGAAACGGCAAAGCAAAAATCTTTCGTGTTTAGCTCTGCTAAGGCTTCAGCCATACCATGTGCACTTTATCATATCTAGGAAGGACGTCAGTTTCCCTGAGGGGGAGCTAATTCCACAGCATTGATTCAGCATTATTTTCTTTCTATCCTCATCATTAAACTGAGGTGAGCTTTGGTCTCTGTCTGTGATCCAGTCCCATACTGAAAACCAGTGCTCAGTGTCAGTGAGAGATGTTGAAGGAAGAAAACTATAGAAACTGAAGCCAGTCATAGCGTCTGTATCCCTTTTAAACTTAAGAGTACTGATGTTGTGTTGTGCCTGAAAAGGCAAATCGATTAAAACAAATTTGTTGAAATTGCAAATGGGTGCCCCAACTAAAAAGTCCAATAAATTCCAATAACAAAGCACAAACCATTCGTTAGGCATCCTGCCCCTCTCCTGGTGGCCACTGCCATCAGTGAAAGCTCACAAAATTGCTAATTCAAATCTTTGTTTTCTTGTTTAGAGATCAAATTACATTGTGAAAGCCAATCTGAGCCTAGAACAATTTCTCTGTTTGACCGGGGTAAAACATGGCCCTCTGGAACAACCAATTTGGCTCTGTGTAATGAGTCATGTCCAAGTGCTTATTTGTTTGAATGAGGCTTAATTTAAATGCACAATAAGCGCGCTCTTAAGAAAGGCATTGTGGTGCATCTCTGTGTGTGTTGGGGAGGGGTCTGGAGGATCTGGGGAGCAACAGACAGAAAGTTAGAGTTATAATATTAAGCATTCAGTGAGTGAGAGCATTTATGGGTTGCTGGATGAAAAGAGAGCTGGATTAAGGTGGTAATGAATTTGGCTCTGAGGATGGCTGCTGAGTTAAAAACAAAACAAAACTGCCAGTGTTACGCATTTAAAAGCTATTTGTGTTTGCAGCAAACGGACAAAATGCAAAACCACATGCTTACACATTTTATAATTATCATTAATTCCAATTGTATTATTTAAATAAGTGAGAAACTGAATGAGAAATACAAAAACAACACAAAAACATTCTTAATATTTGTGTGAAAGTATTAACTAAAGATACACTACACACCAGTTCTAGAGAAATGACTAAAGGATGTTATATTCCAATACAGATAAAATATGTATGATCTGTATTTACACATTTACATATAAATATTTATATCCTGTTGCATCTTCTGACTTGTGTCCCAGTGAGACAGAGGCTGCCAAATGAAATCACGGCTATCCTGCAGTGCACATTTTACATTTCGGCTACATGGGCTGGATTAAAGTCAATTCTAACAAAAGTGAGTTCCCATTTGATCCAGAATTACTTTTTGGAAACAGTCACGGTAGGAGGGGCCGACGGCCACAGAGAATATCACCAACACATTGTTAGTGTGGCATTTTTCTGTGGGACTGGCTGATAACAAAGTCAGAAATTGTAGCTGCCTTATCCTTTGATTTTTAGAAGTACAACAAAATCCAGCTTAACACAGTCCAATAATTCTGTAACTGGATATGACCAACGGGTTGCCTTTGTTTGACTGAACAGTGAGGACAGAGAGGAAAGCAGGTAGAGGGACTCGGGAGAATGACATGCGGTAAAGATCGCCTTGGTTGGGAGTGCTGCTTTGGGACATTCAAGTCAAAGTTGATCTAAGAAGTGTGTCAAATCTATGAGTGTTGTAAAAGTGGGGAATGGGGCCTGCAAGAGGTTCAACCAGACTGTTGTGAATGTCCTGAGGAAACAAACAGGTGTGTGTACTTACCTCGACTTGTCCAAGCATACAGTAACACTGCTCATAGCTCCACAGGCTATGTACCAGCCTTTCTCATGTTCTGCTGACACTTGAAGATCCCTGCTGACATGATGGTTGGGCCTGATGGACCTGCTACACCTCACAGTATGATGGACTTGGTGACCAGGCATAAGGAACAGTTACACTATGCCTACAGAAAGCTGCAAACAAGAACAAAAGCCTACAACCGGATGGCCTGAGAGGCCCCCCCCCTCTACCTGGCAAACGTGTCTTAAGTTTTTAACCAGACAAGGCGGCAGGGAGGCAAACTCAGCGACAGGTAGGAGGAGCTGCCTCACACTCATCACCACATAGTGCTGTAACTTTAATGCAATGAATGTGAGTGACTGAAAACAAGGCTTTGTACCAAAGTACAGGTCTTACCAATCATAGATATCACAGATCTACTGCAGTTAGATGTAAAGACCTGGCCTTAATGAAAGTCTGTTTAACATCCTGAGGTTGGAAATAAAAGAAAAACTACTGTGGATCCCCAGCTGGAGGCAGCGAGCTGAAAGAAAGTCTGTCTCTTCTGACTTCCTCTCTGTGTGATCATTTTTATAATTCAATACAGCCAAAACCACAGCACAGAGTTCTTAATGTGTGTGACTGGAGATTTTGTCAGATGTGACAGTATTAAAATCAGGATTTGACCGCAGACAGTCCAGACATATAGTAGCTCTTGACCTGGACTTGAGATTAAGTGAAAATCATCTCATTTAACATCTCAGCTCAAGTCATGCATGAAATTCAGGATAATTTATATTTTTACTGCAGCAGCAATTGAAAAATAGTCACTGATGACAATAACGTCAAAATCGAACTGCATTGACGATTTAGGCAGAAACAACAAATATTTAATAAGTAGCAGTGAAAAAGTTAGACTTTTAACTACTGAAGACGTACTAAAAATCTGGAGCAACAGCTATCTGAGAAGCGGTGTCCCGCGGGAAGTGTATTGTCTAGGGAGGTATGTTTTCAGCAGCAAACAGGAGGGTGTCTCCAGGATTGTCTCTTAATGCTTTTTATATTCCTGTTTTTCCCCCACAGTAATTCCTATGTGCCTTCAGCATAGACCTGTCACCACAACAACAGCAGTATAATCTACAAAGGAGACAAAGTTCAGAATAAACACGCGTCTCATTAAGTACCTGACAAAGATCTTCAGCCCAGCCACCCCAGTCCAACTTCTGTCACCGCTTCCACAGGGATCTCAAGTGGATTGTAAACTCCCAGCAGCAGGACAGAACATTAATCCTGATGACTTCAGTGACTCTTCAGTCCCTGAAGGTCCACGCGTACTATGTGACTTTGGGCTGTCCCAGAGGAAAGTTGACTTTAAAGAGAACATGATGAGATCTTTGGTCAGTAATTCAAGTGCACTGTGGGCCAACAATAGAAAGCCTGTGTCAAGATTCTCTCAAACTTATCACAAACTTTACTGTAGGGCCGGCATCAATGCTGCAAACCAGCCCAGTGGAGCACAGCGTGGTATAATGCAGGACGCAGCGGCTGGTCGAGCACTGCATCCTGTCCAGTACTGTTGCCGGAGCTCAATTTGATGGTTTTTTTTTTTTTTCTAAATAAGTGCACACAGATGGGTGGTGCCAGCTGATGTTACGTCTCAGTCTGGATACAGATCATCAGGCATCCATCATGCAATCTGCCTGATAGTGTTGTATCTGACAGAGTGTATTTGTCACATGAAGCTTAACATCATTCAGAGAGACTTCCTCTACATTACTTTGGTTCTCCACCCTCTGCTTTTCTTTCTCTCTTGCCCTATTTCTCTTAATCAGCAGACTCCAGGTATTCTGCATCAGATCTTGCCACGATCTGCACCAGCCAATCGATTTGTCCTGTACTAGTATAAAGTCAGCTGTTTCTCTCCTGCTGTGTGCTGTCATTTCAGTCTGCCTGCTGCAACACTCCTGCCCCTCTCACCTCTAGTCCTGATATCCGGGTGGATTTCAGCGACAGCATCTTCTTCATCCACCTCTAGTCTTTATATGCAGTCAGGCAAAGTCATCATCACAGCCACACCTGAGCCAGCACCAGTGTCTCAGCCCTGAGGGGGGTTTCCTCACTCCCTGCACAACTACCTCCCTTTTCACATGTAATTGCACCATAATGACATCTAATTGACACAGTCTTTTGTTCGTTAACACAAATGAGTCCCCTCTAAAGAGGACAAGATGTTGAAGAGTCAAAAATATTGTCAGTATTTCTGCTGACATGATTAAACAATGCCAAACAATGAAATGATCCAAATGTCTCTTTCTGAATAGCTCTGCTGCACATTCCTCTTCCTTGCATCTTCTTGATTTCCTGTATACACCAGTAGTGCACACATGAAGGCACTGTTATTGGTGTCAGCCTGGATCTGGCCATGCACCTACTGCCTTTGTAAACAATACACTGCAACAGAAAAAAAAATCACCAGCAAAACTGTCACTAATGACTGACATGTAGACTGATTCCCTGCAGTAATAAAAAAAACAAGAAAATCATTGGGAGCACCACAAACGTGAAGGCAACATCACCAGGCCCATTGCAAAGACATTATTAAAACAACTACTAAATGAAGTGTAATATTAGCATCTAACTATGGAGGGATTGCTAAATTGCTTGCAGAATGGGGTTTAGCCTTCTTGAAGAGTCAATAGCAAAGCTGGCTAAGCTAGTTGACCTTTTACTTATATTGGAGTGTTAAAATGCTATAGCATTTTATAGCAGAGAGCATGTAGTACAGATCTCTGTCCCGATGAAGAAACAAACTAAATTTCCTGTAGTTACTTCATCACAAATCTGTCTTGCTGATTAGCTAGATGAATAGTCACTGATGTACATTCATGAGTGAATTCCATGCAGTGGCAGCACAGTGGTGCAATGGTTAGCACCCTTTCCTCTCAGCAAGAAGGTTCTGGGTTAAATTCCCGGGCTTGCGTTGGTTCTCTCTGGGTTCTCCAGCTTCCCCCCATAGTCCAAAGACAATGCTGAGAGAGCAGGTGTGCACATGAGTGTGTGTGAGTTGTTCAACTCTACATGTCAGCCCTGTAATAGACTGGTGACCTGATGAGGGTGTGTTCTGCCCTTGCCCTATGGCAGCTTGGATTGGCTCCAGGCCCCTGTGACCCATTATCAGAGTCTGGGAGAGACAACATTGATTCTGAACAATCTTTATTTTTGGTGCAAAGTAGTTTGTAAAAAAAAAAAAAAAAAAAAAAAAATGCTCCACCTGGGTCCCAAAACGCTCTTTGTAAGATTGTAGAAATATTATGTATTAATATATTTTTCTTTTTTTTTTTTTAATGAATGCCATTATTAACCTCAGTCCTCACCAAGCATTAAGGGCTTGGGCCACACTGTAGCAGCATTTGAGGCTGTGTCTGCTCATCTTGACAGTCAGGATGAAATAAGCCCAAACCAAGTGAAATGCATTGATGTGTTTACCTGCAATTGCACCTGCGCAAACAAAGACTTTCCCAGGCTTATACTTGGGGTCACTTAGTGGGGAAGCCTTTGAAATCCTTCAAGATACCTGATGATGATAATTTGATTACTTGAAGAATGCATGTACGAGTGTGTATGGGCGTCTGTGCAGGTGCATGTGCATGTGCATGAAAAAACAATGGAAACTGTAAAACATGACATTTTGAGAAGATTTCAGCACCAGAGAATGAAAAAAAGAAAAAGAGAAGAATTGCTATCACAATGGCACTGTATTAAAAAGAGGAAAAAAGAAACCTTTTGAATGGCAGTCAATGGCACAAAAATGCCAAAGGGACACAGATTGCTCTGTCGAATTTAAAAGGCATATGAAAGACTTGAAGAAAAAAAATCATGAAAAATTAAAACACACCTTAAAGTACACAACCTGGCCAAAACATATGCCCTTTGTATTAACACAGCCAAAGTTAATCAAAAATAAAATTCAAAAAACACCAAAGAAATGTCTAGGGACTCAGTATGGTTAATGATGGCATAAAAACCCTCACAATTCATCTCCACATATTCACTATTATCTATATTTAATGTTATTTCCATAAAGAGTTTTGAATGAAATTAGTGACCTTTGACTCGCAATGCTTTGCAAATTGGTCTCTCCTGGAAAGCAAACTCTACGCACAGCCCGAGGCAGAACATTATCTGAAGCGAAAGCCCTTGCAAACTACAGCAGTCCATCACACCCAACACAGAGAGGGAGGGACAGAAAGAGATGGAGAGGGGAGGAGTAAAGGAGGAGAAAAGATTACTTTTACTACTTTTACTCTGAGCCAGAGAAAATGGAGGGACAAAAAGCAGAAGATGAAAGCTACAGACATTAGGAAACGAGAGTGAGGGTGGCAGACAACATGGCTTGCTATGACTAATATGTGCTCTAAGTGTGACTTTCCAGTAAAGTGCAACACCCCCACCCCTGCTCTGCCATGTCCCACCATCCTCATCCACCCATCTATCTATGCCATCTTTCCATGACTGATGCTTTTCTGTCTGATATTGTGTCTGCTCTGACACTCCAGCTCTTCATTCTAATCCTCCCTGGCATCCATCCCTTCATCCCGTTCATTCTTTCCTCTGTCTTTTCCTCCATTCCCCCTTATGCCTCGTGTCCTGTGAGAAATCATCACCAAACACTTGGTGCAATGTGGGAAAAGGTAAAGCAGAGTCCATCTATCCCCATATTCCCATGACGGCACACTGTTTGCTAATGATATGTCAAGTTGGGTACCATATGTATGTCTTCCTCTGACTGAACCCGGTTGTGTGTAACACAACACAGTGTGCCATAGTGACGTGCTTTGCTTTGAAAGAGGATTAAAAAACGAAATTAATGACATTTTAGTAATGTCTGAAAAAGACTGAAGCATGGAGGGATGCAGGGAAAGAAGAAGGAGATGAAGGAGACGAGGTTTAGGATCCAGGACATGATGGACAACCTCTCAGGTCTTGTTCACTGTTGTCTTTCTACTGTTATTATACCACAATCACAGAGCAACAGTGCCACCAAGTGTTTCAGAGTGGTCTAGCAAAGTGGTATATTTTTGTGGCAAATGGTCAATTCTCTCTCTCTCCCTCTCTCTCTCTGTCTGATTGAGGCACTAAGGGATATTTTGAAAAGTGTTACATCTTAATAAAATATAGTGTTATTATACTAACACCACTTCATAGACCTATTTGGGAGAAAATGAGACAACAAAAAATTTGAAAACCATCAGTTAAAACGGCTCATCTCCTGGCTGGACGAGCGTCCTGGTCATCAGTGGATTTCAGACTGAGGGTCAGGACATTTCAGTTCATTATCATATATTTCACACAACAACATCCCTGTCAGAAGGACAGAACATGGATGTAGATTCAAAATGTACTCCAGAATATTGAAGAAAGGTATCTCACCTCTGATATGCTTGAAGACTGTGTTGACAAAGCTGCAGTTCAGTGAAAAACTGTAAGTTCAGTTGCTGCAGGCACTTCTTCTGAAACAAAGAATTCTTTAGAAGAAAAGTGTTATATATGTGCTTGCTTTAAAGTTATGGTTGGTAATCATGCTCAAAAACATGTTTTGTTATACTGGGTGAAATGCTCCTTCTATCCTGAGAGTAGTCGATACATTATGTATTCAGAAAAAGGAAGGAAAATAATCAGTCCTCTGTGGCAGCTGCAGGACTGACACAACTCTGACCAATCCATGCTTTACGCTCCGAAAAGCAAAAAGCAAAAACAAATCACATGCCTTCATGTCAGGTTCTGCCTACGCCCAATCAAGCTGCCATCTCTCTCCTCCTCTGGCGTGTGATCAGTGTCTTCACCTACATCCGCAGACAAGCCACACTCCAGTCTGGTGGGTCAGAGAGAAGTCTGAGGAATGGGGCTGAGACTTCTGACTTGTGCATTTTCAAAATGTGGCCTGTTAGAGCTGTTTTTCCAGGATCTCCAACCCTACCTTAAAAGGTGTTCAGAAATGGCATTTGTCCCGCCTCCTTCCATGAGTTTCCACACAAGTACACACAAGTAAGGAAAACAAATTTGACTGGGTGTTATCAAGCAGGCGGGATGTTCAATGTTTGGGGCGGGTACTGGGCCGGTACTGGTTTATAAAAGAGCAAATGTCTACGTTAGTAGCCTAGTTAGCAACTCACCGGTACTTTCGAAGAAGGTGTCCCAACTACACTGTCAGGGCTGCTATATCTGTCAGGATTATATTATTATTATATCCTTCACCAGCCCAGCTGAGTATTGCCCGTAGTTTGAGAAGCTGGACTGTGTGAAATGCCTTCCCCTCACCCTGGATCTCACTCACAGCCCGCTCTCGTCGAAGTGCAGGAATTCAAGCCAGCCGCCTCGTATCCCTGCATCTGAAGGGAGGCTGAACAAAGTGGTTTGGTGGACGGACACCCAAGCAAACACCTCCTTGGTCCTCCTGCAGCCATACTAACACCACTAACACTCACACACACGCTAACTCACAATCTCACCACACACTCACTCACCCTAACATGTCCCTCACTCACTCTCTTGCAACTGCACACTAGATAATAACTCTCTCAAAAGTCACGAAACTGCTCACTACAACTCCAAACCACTTACTCCTGCAAAAACCACTACTCGCTGTCAAAGCTTCCTGGTTTTTGTCAGACGTTTGATTGTTTGATCCAATATCATTGGCTGATGAATCGTGAGCAATGTGACGTATAATTTGCGTGCCTTCATTATCCAACGATAAAAAAAACTAACCCACTTTCACCCTGGATTTACTCAAAAATAGGATTTTGGACAAAGTGTTGGCTACATCGTCTGATAGATGAGTGATTACACTAATTTTAAGACCCAAATTGGGGTCAAATTAAATGTTTTTTTCCGAACACCTTTAAGCATTACAGGAAAATATGTATAAGCATTCATGTATCTATTAAAAATCAATTCAAATGCAGTACTAACTTTAGTAATAGTAGAAAATGTGAAATTAAACTTTGTACTTTGATGTACTGATTTGATTTTATGATATTTGATATATTTTTTAAAATACATTTTAGATACATGAATTACAATGCGAACAATAAGTTAGACCAAATCACCATAGTCTTATAAATTACATAGAATAATGTGCAAAAGATTAACTCACTCAGAGCTCTGGTGATATGTAATATGATATGTGTATTTTGCGTTGCATCAGTAAGGTAAATAAGTAAATAAGTAAACCCATAGTGACTGACTTTTGTCATGTTGTCGTCCTTACAGCTAATTTTAAACAGCTCAAAGAGGTTAGCTTGCACTGCCAATTTCCCTGACTGAAATATTTAATAATGTATAGAAAGCCTCTTTGGCTCTCTCAGTGGAGTTGAATTAACAGAGCTGGTGGCTCTTGGGGTCAATGTGATTTTAACTTTGTTAATGTACTAGTGTGTTACAACAGCAGTGTTGTCATTACATAGCCTGCAGAGAAGCAGCAGGGACTGAGCTCAGTGTTTACACGACAGCAGTTACTATCATTCAAAACTTTGCCAGTTTTTTCTCTTAAATTAAATAAATAATATAATATAATATAATATATAATATAATATATAATAATATTTAATAATAATATTTAAATAAATATATACAGTCAGACATGTATCATGTACATTTTACAACTTCACCACTGGTTCTAGGAAGAATTCTGTTACAGCCACTTACTGTTTCTGCAGCCTCCCCTCATGATTTTCTCAACAGACACCTTGGGGGCTGGAGATTCGAATGAAATTCAATTCACGTTGTTGCCTAATAATTTAGTTTTGATATTTTAATTTTCTTCAAAGGCATTTTTACCCTTTGTTAGTGAGGTTCCTATGCTCTGCTTACACCACCAGCCAATGACTGGCTTTAACATTTGGTTATAGACACAACAATAAGTTGGAGAATTTTACAGGAACTCTAAGAGGTTAAGAAAAGATATTTGTCCAAAACAATGTT